TGGAGCCGACCTGCCCCAGTACTCACGTGGCGCAGCGTTGTAGCCCTTCATCATCATCATCTTCTTCCCTGCGGAGAGAAAGAGGCATCAGCATCCCCCGCGCCTCACCGCCAGGCTCGGGGCTGCCCAGGGCGCAGCAGCTCATGCCCGCAGCCCCTCCCGGCCCCCGGCCCTGCCTTCCTCCCGCACCCTCTGCCTCGCCGGCCCCGCGGCTTTACCCGACCGGCGCTTCCACAAGATGAATCCAGCGATGCTGGCCACGACAGCCAGGATGGCCGCAGCCAGCGCCAGCACGACGGCGAGCGGGATGGACTCGGGCTCTGGGGAGAGCAGCAGCGTGAGGAGGGGAAGGGGCACCGCCCCCGCCCCCCGCCCCACGTGCCCAGGGCCACCGGGCTCACCCCACGCGTAGAGGCCGGGCTCGGGCAGGCTGGCGTGCTCCACGCGGCACCGGTACTTGCTCCTCTCCTCCGGACGGGCCTCGATGGAGGCCCAGGTGTAGAAGGTGCCGTCGCTGTTGGGCGCCACGCTGCCCCGCTCGGTCTCCTGGTCCCTGACCTCGCCGTCCTTCAGCCAGCTGACGGCGATGCGCCGCGGGTAGAAGCCGTAAGCGCGGCAGGACAAGGTCAGGATCCCGTCGGCCTCCTTCCCCGACACTCGCACCGTGGGGGGCTCTGGGGAGGGGGTGGCAGTCAGGGCCGGCACACGCAGCCGCGCCGCCCGGTGCCCGGGATCCCTGTCTCGCCCTCACCTTTCCTCTCCAGCACGGCCCGTCCGTAGCTCACGAATTTCCTCAGCCACTCGATGCAGGTGTTCTCCAGGTAGTGCTTCATTCTCTCGGCTTCAGCCCCGTCCTTCTCCCAGTTCCTCTTGGTGACCTGTGCCGCTTTGTCCGCCGCGGTGAATGTCATCGTGGTGATGACATCCTTCCTGTCGTAGGCAATCCGATAGTATCCCTTGGTGCCACCATCCTCCAGGAGATCACAGCCGTACATCTCCTGCAGCGTTTGAGCCCCTAAAACACCAGCAGGGAAATGGGGCTGGGGGGCTGCTGCTGCTGTGAGCCTTCA